AAAGCAATAGTGGGGCAATCCGACATTTTGAGAGAGGATCACATAGTAGGCAATTGTATTGTCTCGATGTTAAATTTTCCGTGTGTGGTCATTGCATTCAAATTTTGTAGTAGACCATTCTTTGTCTTAAGACGTACGTGTTGACGTATTTAGGCACGATATGCTAATGTCCGAAAGTAACTCAAATGATTCAACACAACAATTAAACACACACAGATATACACAGAGAAAGAGGGAGAGACAATATGACAAATGTGACAAAAAGTCAATAACGGGTGACCCCATCTGAGAGATATATGGGTGTTCCTGGCCATTTTCGTGCAACTATCTGCAGGACACACATTTTCAAAAATAAAACTTGGGGAAAGAGAGGACATTAAGGAGCGTCTTGATTCCAATCAATTTGCAAACTTAGAAAGAGGTGACCGATGTCTAGAAGAACATAACGTGCCAAAACTGAGTCAAGAGGCAGCCCAAATCGTTGCATGAGCATAAAGAAACATATCAGCACTAGTCAAAAGCTTTTCACAAAAACTCCAGGCTTCCCCACTGAATTCTGACAAACATCCTAGGCATGAATGTTTCCAGTTTGACACAAACTCTTAGGAAGCATAGACAAGGAGGGACATCCCCCACCTCATTTTGTGAGGATGGAATGACCTTGATCCTAAATCTCGTCAAGGACAATTTGAGAAAGGGCAATCGCGGGTCAATCACACACTCGTGACACAGAAGCAAGAACCAGAAACAGATTATTAGCAAACCGAACCCTACAGGGCATAAGAAGGAAAATACATACTATGCCACGACGAAACTGCGGCTAATAAGGCAATATAATATTCCACATTAACAGATTACGGGGGAAAATCACGAACCTCGTGTTCAGAAAAAAATCGTTAGTAATATCCATATCCGGTCCTGCTGTACTTGTTACAATTGTTTTTAAAAGTCGGGATTATTGAGGTACATAATACACAGGGTCTGCGAATCGTTATAAACGCCTACTGTTACGGAACCACCACCACAATCAAAATAGAAAACGTTTCCATCACCCCCAAATTTCCTTCCTGGTCTTTGGTAGGTACACTCCCGCTCTCAACGCCCAGACCCTGGCAACCACCGACCTGTTCTCTGTCCCTCGAGTTGGGCCCTCTCAAGGATGTCATAGAAGCGGAATCCCCCGGCATGTGGACTTGTGCATTTGGCTTCCTTCACGGGGAGGGGCACGTGTGGGACTTCTGCAGGTGCAACGTGCCGTTTCTTCACCTGGGTAGCCGTCACACGGCGTGATCACTTCATAACTTATTTCTCAATTCGTAGGCTTCTGCTTTCTACAACTGTGGATATGTAGTGTGCGGGTCATAAATGCAATTCACATTTAATCTCATGTACTGTGTCTTTCTTAAACTGGTAAGGGTTATTTATTAAATAGCAGTTGTTATCCGTTAAAGGAAAGCGAATGCTTACTGGAAAAGCCAGGACAGCGGTTCTCCCAGGAAACCGAGGGATGGGGAAAGTGGTCGGCCTGGGGCAAATGAGGGTTCCGGAAGGACTGTCCATGTTCTCTATCTTCATCTGAGTGGTGGTTACCAGGACTTCCACGTGGCACAAGCGCAGGGGCGCCCAGCACCCTGCAGTCGGGCGAAAGGTGCACCCTGGATTCAGGCAGGTACACTTCCGAGGGCCACCCTGGCAGCCCCAATTTGCCCGGCCGGACCTGGAAAACACGGGGGAGGGTCTCCCCACCTTAAATCAGCTGAGTAGCAATGGTTATCGCTTCTGCAAACTTGCACCCCATTGCCTCGCAAAGTAACCTGCTAGCCGATTCCGAGAATTAGGATGAAAACATCCTTGGGGACCATTACGCTGCCAACCACACCCAGCTCCTCCTCAGGTGCTCACATGCTCCTCCATTCTCGCCCGGGGCAATCCTCCCCGAGTTTCTGGAGAGAGAAGTTGGCGGGTCGTGGTGACGGTACTGGTGGTGGGGATGGTGGTACTGCTCGGTGGGAGAGGGGGCATCTGCTCAGGGGCTGGGCACGTAGCAGAAGGAGGCAGGAGGGGGCCTAGGGCTCTCGAGGCCAGCCGCCACTCCCTCCCTGGCTGGCCAGGAGGCTTGAGGGGAAGGGCAAAGGGGGGGGACACTGAATCAGGGGAGGGGACCGACCTCCTCCTTTCCTCTGGGCACAGAAGTACTTGGTCACTCTAGGCCTCAGTATCTGTCACCTGCTTTCCCTGGAACTGGCAGGCGCCGAGCCACGGCCTGTGGTGTACGTGTTTACAGCAACATGATAGTGCGGTAGTTGGTCTGAACACCGGGGAGAGAGATCGCGCGCTCAGAGCAGGGAAAGGGGGCTGGCAAAACCAGTCATGAAGGGTCGTGTTCATGCCCTCCCACGTCCCCTTCCACGCGCAGCTCCCCTTCCTCATGCTGGTGAGCATGGTCCCGTGCCCCCCGCGGCAGTGCCGGTGCTCGACAGCCCCCCAGCCACAACCTGCACGCAGGTCTCCGTGGGCGGAAACCCCAGCTGCGAAGTCTCTGCCAAACTTATTCACTCAACAGCAGCGAGCTGTGTTGTCCCGCCAAGAAATCACCGTGGGGTCAGGGGCAAAGCCAGAGCCTAAGCCTCAATCAAGGCCGCCTTCTCCAGCGAGGGCTTCGAAGTGGAAGGATTAAGTCCCACGAACCTTGCTTTCCGGCCCGGAGGTCTGGGGTTGGCCCATCCCATGCCCGACGGCCTGTCCACCTGAGCTCAGGCCCGGGGCCCGGGAGGGAGACAGGGTGCGACCACGGGGTCTTCAGGGTGGAACCCAGTCTGCCCAGGTTCCCAGGGGCGGTCACGCTGTACTTCCCATCCTCCCCGTGCCCATCCTGCCCTGGCCCGGTCAGCTCACCCTGGGGCAGTCTCCTCCATCAGCTCCCAGCTTCCGAGCTGAGCCGTGTCCCCGCTACTCTGAGGCAGCCAGCCTTCCCCCTCTCATTCCGTCGACACACACGCAGGACACGCATCAGACATCCTGGGATGGCAGAGGAGCAGCCAGAGCCTCCTCCAGCGACTCCAACAACCGGAGCCCCTGACACCCCGTCGGGGCGTTTGGTGACTTCTGTCATTCCTCCCCCACGTTGTCAGCAGCTGTTAGGAACACCCCTTAGGAAAAAAGATCCGACACTGGCTTTTGCTCCTTGGCTCTCTTGCAAGTTCTTGACCACGGTCTCCACTCCCTTTACTCCCCGAATGACAACTTTCTCCCTCAGAGGAGATGGCCCACGATGACTTTTATTCACACGCACACCTGCCCCAACATTGAATGTCCTATCGACCACGGTCCCCCTTTTCTGTACCCAGGCTCTCGGGCAGCGGGTCTGGCGGAACTCACCCTCCCCTCACTCAAACGCCAATCTGTCCCTCGGAGTCTCAGGCCGGCACACAGGCCCGGGTCCGGGTCAAGGAAGGAAGCCACCTCCAACTGTCAGGGAGGGGAAGTCGAACCTGGAGTTCACACTACATCTTGTGAGACCTAAAGAGGCAGGCTGGGGAGATTGAGCTGGGACCCAGAAGCATCATCTCCAGCCAAATCCGTGTCACGGAGGTGCTCCAGCAGTATGTGAAGGGGATCGTGCGGGAACACTGAGACCCACCAAGCACACTTGCCATAGAAGCCGCCCGGCCACTCTGCAGTCCAGGGCATAGAGAAGACCAGGCTGGAGGAAGGCTAGGACCGGAAGGACGTGAAAGCTCCTATGGCGAGACCATCCAGTTCTGGGTGCCGGCGGGCCCTTTCCCCCGCGTTGGCCCCACAACAGACTCATTCCCCGACAGCGGCCCAGAGAGTGACCTGCACTTTTCTTCTGTGTGCCCAGTACGTTCCCTCCGGCTCCACGAGCCACCATCGCACGGGGCTGTGACTTCTGCCTCCACCCCTCTACTGAAACCAAGGAGGGAGAACTGACAGGTTTGGGAAGCGAGTGTCAAAGGTGAGGGCTAAAGAGAGGAGGAAGAAAACGTGCAGGTTCCTGCCTGAGCTGTCTGTGCGCGTGGCGCCACCAGAGGGAGGCAGGGACCACGCAGAGAGGACTGGGCCGGGGAAGGGGGAAGAGGAGCTCAAACGTGCTCTTTAGCACCCATGCAAGTACAGCTGCAGGGGCGGCCAGTGACGGGCGGAAAGCCACCCAAGGCATCAAGAGTCCTCAGACCACAAAGCGGGGTGGACGGGAGAAGCAGGGCAGTGATCCCAGTGAGGGAAGGGAAGAAGGGACTGGGGCTCTGGAGGGGCTCCCGAGTTCCTGCTGAAGGCAAGGGGAAGAGCCGCGAGGAATGGGAAACCTGGAGACCCCAGAAGAGGAGATTCGGAGAGAAGACCAAGGGGACCTGCAGGGGAAAGCGGGTAAATGCGAGTGTGGCTGGGCGGCGCCCACACAGAAGCCAGAGCCCAGACCCCGGGCACCCTGCTGGCCTGACTGCAGGGCTCCCATCAGAGGCTGGCCCAGACTCCCCACAGGGAGAAGGCCCACACAGAATGCCAGGGCTCCTCTTCCGGAAAAGGCTCTGAAATGCGGCAGTGCCCCAGCCCGCCCCAACCCCTCTGCCTGCCCCGACCCGCACACCCCCACACCCTCCCCACCCCCGCCCCAAAAGAGAGGACAGACCACAGAATATGAGAGGTTCTTTAATGTGAAACTGCTGTGAACTGGGGTGGGGAGGGGGCAAGAGAAGGGGAGAGGAAGCCCAGGCTGAGGGAGAACAGGAGGGAACCAGCTTGGCCACAGGTCCCGGGCTCCAAAGGCACCAGCTGCTTCTCCTGCGGGAAGGTGCTGGGCTCAACCTGGAAACAGAGCGGGGCCGGGGAGGAGCCTGAGGCCAGGGTCCGCCCCAGCCCTCCGGAAGAGCCCCGACTGTGGGAAGGGGTCTGGTGTGTGGAACACTCACTTCAAAGGCTCTGGAACTTGTCAGCCAGGGACAGGACGGCCGCTGAAACAGAGAGAGGCCTAAGCAGGCACTCCACCCACAGGGATCTAGAAGCCCGTGCCCCTGTCCCCGGGGGGGACGGCCTAGCCCTGCCCCTGGAAGCCCCTCCGGGCCCTGTGCAAGCAGCCCCGGGCCGGACTCAGTCACCCACCACCTGAATTCCGTGGGGGAAATGTTTTCTAAACGAGAACCAAACGTGCCAGTGGGTCTCCAGCTTTGGGGCATGTCGGAGCCACTCGGAACTCGTCAAATGAACCAACACACGGCAGCGGACAAGGCACACCAAGCAGCCGGTACAGGGAAAACCAAGGAGGCATCTCTGAGCGTCCCAATAGGAGGAGATCTCTAGGCCTCGTTCGCGTCGACAGTGCGCGCGTGCAGGGCAGACAACGCTTTCCTATTTGCACAGGCGCTGGGCTGTACCTGACAGCAGGCTCCAGGGCCAGGCCTGCTGGGCTCTCCTCCCCACGGGAACGTTGGTCCCTGTGAGGCCGCCTGCCCCTGCGCCCGCCAGCCCCACCCCGGGGCCCTGAGTCCTGCACTAAGACACCGCAGGCGGTCCCGGGGCCCCTGCCCCGGCCCCTGCCCCAGCCCCAGCCAGAGGTGCCTCATACCAAGGTGCTCTTTCAGGTCGCCTATTTCTCTCTGTAGCACGTGACACTAGGCCGGCAGACACCAGAGAAAGAGAAACGATTAGTATCTGCTGGCCTCCTCTCGCCTCGACCTCCCCTCTCCCCGGGACCCTACCTCCGAAACCCCAGCAGCTACACTGGCAGGGGCTCCTCGGGGAAAGGAGGTGCGCTCCCCCCGCGGGGTGCGGGATGGGGCGCGGAGGGGGACACGTATGTCAGCTGACCCTGCACACCGACCCCACCGTCTCGTTTGGGCCTGCATCTCTAGGAGCCACGGAAGCAATACCCGAGGACAGCCCCGTGCTCCACGTGGTTGCTGCTGCCTTTGCCGTCCTGGAGGTCGGTCAAGTGGTTCCTGGTCACCTGAGTGGGAAGGAACAGGACGTCCAGCTTCCAAGGCTCCCAGGGAAGTGGAAAGTGAGGCAGCACCACCCTCTGCTGGCATGGACTTGCCCCTGCTCTGCCCCGCAGCTCCCATCTTCTCTCAGGGCCTGCCTCGCCTGTCCTGTTCCCCAGGGGCAGCCCCAGTGCCACTGTGCCCCCCAGGACTGGGGCCTGTGTGGGACTCTCCCAGAGCCGCAGCCACAGCCCGTGCCCCGGGATGAGCCCGCGGCCCAAGAGAACTCAGCAGAAAAGGCTTTGTCCCGCGGAGAGTCTACGTCCGGAGTCGCGGTTTGGGGCGCTGCTAAGGACTTGCGCCCCTGCAGAGCATGATGTGGCTGAAGGCCAGCCCCGTGCATGCCCCGCCTCCTTGGGAGAAGCTGCCTGGGTAGGCACCGAGGCCTGGGAGCAAGGCTGAGCCGCCAGCAGAGCCAGAGCCAGAGCCTTCCCTTCCTGTCCGCTCTCCCCTCACTCGCGGCTCACTCACCCAGAAGACTCACCGGAGGGTGCAGGCCCCCTGGGCACCGTATTTCCCTGGCTCCGGGCCAAGCACTGTGGGTTTCCCGCAACTTGGGGAGCGGCTCTGGTGTTGAGGTGGCCACTGCTGCCTTCTGGACGACGCACGCACCGACTACATGGCCCTGGTCTGTGTCCTGGAGGCTAAAGAACCATTTCTCACCCATTTGGACCGGGGATGTGAGAGCGTGTGAGAGAGTGTGAGTGTGAGAGTGTGAGAGTGTGTGTGTGTGTGTGAGAGTGTGTGTGTGTGTGTGTGTGTGTGTGTCCGTGTCCGTACCCAGATGCGTTTAGAGGCTGGGGTGGGGCAGGGAACAGGCCAGGGAATTCAGAGGCTGATCTCATCAGCACTTTCGCCCTCAGTCAGCTCCAGGCCAGGAGGCAGAGCTGAGCTGGGGAGAACAGTGGGGCACTGAGAAAGCCCAGGTCTCCTGCAGAGAAGGCTTGGGGAACAGCTAGGAAGTAGGATCAGGAAGCCCGGGAGTCTGAACACGGAAGCTCTGCGGCCCAGACTTTTAAGGGGGCCCCGGGTCCCAACCAGCTACCAGTCCTCCCTTCCATCCCAGCTCCTCTCTGGGGGAGGGCGCAGGAAACAGGACCAGGGTCGAGAATGGTGGCCGGCAGACGCGCGCGGGCGCACACGCGCAAGCACCCCCCCCCCACACACACACCCCCCCCCCCATGCAGTGCTAGCTTCACGTTTCCCCTTCTACGACGACCCCCCTCCGGCAACCTAATGACCGAGGGTCCCCAGTGACCACCCCCGAGGGAAGGGCAGAGGGAGCATGGGTAAAGAAGTCCCCGATTGGGGTGGGGGCAGAGGCGGGGAGAGAGGAGGCGCAGGGCCTACTCACTTGGCCCCGCGGGGCTGGGTCGCTGTTTGGGTCAATATCTTCTCCCGCCACCTCCACCGGCTGAGACTCCATTGTCCTCCCGGCCACAGATTTCTTCCCAGTGCCGGGCTGCTTGGACTGCTTGGCCCTCCTGCACCTCACAAGCAGCGGGACGTCAGAGACTGGCGGGAACGTGGCCGGGTCCAGGGGAGCTGCCGAGGCTCTCTGCCCCCAGGAAAGAAAGGTTCTCCCTTGGGCAACTTGTGAGGCAGCCCCCAGGGATTTCTTCTCCGGGGCCGCCTTCCTCCAGGGAGTCGCCCGGGACAGGACGCCGCCGGCGGCGGCCGCAGCAGCGGCCGCTGCCTGGTAGCTGGGCCTCTTCCCCCCCTTGCCCCAGACCACACACTCTACTTTCTTGGAGGAAGAGAAGTCCAGCTCTCCAACAGCCCGCCTCTCCACAGCCAAGGTGAACGCTCGGGCAGCGGAGGGCAGGAAAGAGCCCGGCACGTGGAGGAAATTCTCCCTGGCGGGGAAACTGGAGCGTCTGGGGGGGTCCCCAGGATGCTCGGGGCCGTTGGGCTGGGCTTGGCCGCCTTCTCCGGGGCAAAGGCTCACCCTCGTCCGCTGTAGCTCGCTGGCCTCGTCTGATGGCTCGGGGTCGGAAGGCAGCCGGAACGGGCCTCCCGCCGAGGGCCGCCCGCGACTCGCAGGGCTGCCCAGCCTGCTCCTCCCGCCTCTTTTAGGGCTGCCCCAGGCCGGGCCGCCCTCGGGCCCAGGGAGCGGGAGCAGGGCGGCGGAAGCCGGCTGCGACGCCACCCAGCTAAGGGCAGGCGCGCCGGGGCCGCCGGCACCTGGCTCGAGGCCCGCCCACACGGTGGAGCCTCGGGCGGCGCAGCTCTCCGGGGACCGGTATCTGCAGACGCCCCGCCGGGTCAGCTGCTGCACGACGTTCGCCGCGGCCCGCGGCGCCGGGCAGGACGCGCGGTCCGCCGCCGCGTCCCTGCCGTCGGCCGGGCAGCTGGGGCGGCCCCCGGGCTGGGGGAAGCCGCCCTCGCCCTCGCCCTCGCCGCTCCGCGGCGCCCCCAGAGCAGGGCCTAGACCGACTGCCCGCAGGGCTCCGGGCTCGGCGGGGCGGACGCCGGCCCGCGCCCCGCCCTCCGGGCCGAAACCCGCGCCCCAGACAGACCCCTCGTCGGGGGAGCTCATGTCGGGAGTCCGGGGGGGTCCCCGGCCGCCTCGCGGGAGACGATGGCCCCGGGCGCGCTGGGACGGGTGGCGGCGCGCGTGCGCGCGCAGCGGCGAGGCCTTGGGGGCGGCGGTGGGGGTGGGGGACGCCGGCCCTCCCCAGACGCGGCGCACGAGATCGCCTCAAACCACGCGCGGCTTGCGCGCGCCTTCGACGCCTGCGCCGCGCCCTTCGCGTGGGTCCGCCCCCGCCAACCAGCGCGCCCCTTGTGGGCCCGCCCCCCGAGGCCCTCCCCTATCGCGTCCAGGGGCCCTGGGGGCCTCCGAAGCCCCTCGCGGGCCGGCAGTGGGAAGCCCGTCCCGTGCCTGAGTGCGGCCGTCGGGGCGCTCGTCCCGCCTCTTCCGAACAGCCCGCCTCCCCGGCACAGGCTACCTTCCAGTAGCAGCCGCGGCTCTGAGCCCCGGTTTCCCGCGTACGGAGCGGGGCAAGGCCGGCCCCGGGCCCAGGGGGGCATGCGGTGGGGCTTGTGAGGGGACACGGCAGGCCCCCGATGGGGCCCGTAGCGCACGAGGGATGGGCCGGCCTCTAGTCCACAAGATGTACGACCCCATAGGAGAATGGGCACAGGCAGCCCGCAGCCAGCCATCAGGGGTCGGCGTACTGTTTCCGCCGTAAAGGGCCAGAGAGCAAATGTTGTGTTTACGGCTGTAGGGTCCCTGTCGCAACTGCTCGAGGACGGTAGCTGCTCAAATCGGCCATGGTTGTGTGCTCAGGCCGGTTTGGGGGTTGGGCCGGGGTTTGCCCCGCGTCTCTCGGCCCCTCCCCCACTGCGAGTCAGTTCAAACGAGGGGGAATCCCAACACCCAGTGCTCGCCCCAAAGGGTCGTCAGCGTCGCTGGTCCTGGAGGCGAGACAGAAAGCCACAGATCGGTTTTCACACGCCACGTTTGCAACAATCCAAGACCTTCGCCCTTCTAAGGTGGGGGACGTCACGAGCAAACCCGTGCTTTTGACCGTCGCAGGGGGGCCTGGGGTGGGGAAGGGGCCCTGGTTGTGGCAGCGGGGCAGGAGAGACATTTGGGAGGGTCGTTTGGCAGCGTCCAGGAAAAGAAACTTCTCCCACGCGGACTCCGTCGGTGTCTGGCACTCTTCTGAGCGCCGTAGATAAGTAGTCACGCGTCCTCAGGACAAGCCTAGGATTCAAGTAGCCACTCGTACCGCCCTCTTATGGTGGAGGAAACAGGCCCCAAGAGGTTCGGCCAGTGGCCCAGGGTGGCTCGGCTTGTTGGGGTCAGTGGCAGGCTTCAAACCAGGCCGTCTGGCTGCAGAGTCCTCGCTTTTGCTATCGAACCTCTAGTGAGTTGGCTCACCCTTTGCAACGCAAGCCAATCTCACGCTAGGTGTAGTGGAAGAAAAGAGGACTTTATTTTGCACGGCGCTGAGCAAGGAGAAAGGGCGGCTAACGCTGAAATCCAAAACGCCCCGAAAAGCTAGAACTAAGAGTTTTTATTTGGGGTTTTAGGTAGGGGAGGGGGAGCATATGGCCCTTTTGGTCAGAGCTTTTCCACCAGCCTGTGTTTGGCCTTGACACTACGTGCAGAGAGGAGGGAGCCCGTGACCTTGCTGCTCAGCTGCTTTCCCACCAGCCTGTGGCTCCTTGTGGGGAGGAGATAGGGAATCCACGTGGTTGTCCTTGGCATTTGTCTCCATAAAGGCGGTTGGTGGGTTCTGGAGCCAGGAAGCCAGGGAGTAAGCAGGGAATGGGTGCTTTGGTTTTAACCACGTAGATGCTGGGTTTAACGATGGTGTAACCGAAAGTTCGGTCTCTGAACCCGATGCCTATCCAAATAACGAGAACAGAGTCTTGAGTGGAAGAGGAGAGGTTTTTACTGTGCCAGGCACAGGGAGCAAAGCAAGGGCTCATGCCTCAAAAATTGCCAGCTCCCCGATGAGGAATGGGTAGGGATTTTTATCTGGGGTTTTGGGTAGGGGAGGGGGGAACATGTAGCTTGTGCAGCTCGGTGCTTTCCCACCAGCCTGCGTTTGGCCTTGAGAGGCTGCTTGCAGCAAGGCAGGGGGGAGGGTGAGATAGGAGGATGGCAGGTGGGCGTCCTTCGCCGGTGTCTCGTCTTCTTGTTTGAGGCGGGTTCGAGCGCCGGGAGTCGGAGTCGAGGAGTTGAGGTCTGGGGAGCCTCCGCTCCTTGATACTCTTGAGACAGCGGCTTTCCTGGCAAACTCAAGGACACGTGATTAGCTAAACTTTAGTGTGCCTCCAACTCCAGGCCACCTGGGCTTTTAACAATTTGTAGCTCCCATTTGGTTGTAAAGCTCAAGGAGTCCAAGTTTAAAGAAACAGGTATTTGCATGTGAGTGGAGCTAGAGAAGCAGGAAAGGGGGTGGTGGGTTTTAGTTTTAACGCCGTATACGCTGGGTTCAATGTGGGGGAACTGATATCAGGGCTGATGTTAAGAGCCTGTAACACTGGGAAAGTGAAATCAGAGCTGGTATCAGTTTCCCCTATTTTATGTTCATCCCTCATTCTTGAGGGATTTGGGGCTGTGACCAATTCAGCTACTTACTTCCTGCTGAATTGGGGCCTAGGTGGTTTCATCTCACTGAACCAGTCTCTTAATAAGGTGGTGATGCAGGTGTGTCCCCAAAGTTGGGCCTGTGTCATGTAAGTAAGTAACCAGGTATCTAATAAGAAGTTTCCCCAGAGAAACAAAAAGAGAAAAACAAGGTTAACGGTTGGAGCAAATTGTAAACTAGTTCCTGAGCCCAGGAGGCAAGCAATCGAGATTCCTAGAAGTCAGGGTTGAAGCATCCTTTGCAGTTTGAAATGTCTCCCATGGTGTCATCGGGCACTCAGGTAGCTTTTCGAGTGGCTCACACAGCGGTAGACATGAATCTCTCTTAAGTTTATGTTAAGTCCTCCAGCTTCAGTTTGCAAGGCTTCAGGAAAAACGGGCAGGTTTAGTTTTCAGTGATTCTGAATGAAAATGATGGGAAAAAACCTGAAAATGTTGGTTTGGAGGCTTGTAGCCAGATGTTTCAGGAGACTAGAAGAATTCAGGATCCAGTCCAGTTAACAGATGTAACAAAGACCTCAGAGACAATTGACAGAACCAGAATCCAACATCTACACGTGTGTATTATATGTTTCTATTGAAACATAATCTTTCTCTCTAAAATCACCCTTTTATAAAGATAGCCAAATTAAGACTAACTGGTTTGCAAAATAAGTCAAGTTTTAAGAAGTTTGGCATAATTATTTACATAAGTGCAGCAAGAATAGTAATTGATTATATAGGCTCTTTTAAATCTGCTTTGCTGGAACCTTTTACGAAGAGCCTCGAGTTGAACTTCAGAGGCCTCTGAAGGTCAGGAAAACCAAGCCAAGGACTTGTCATCAGATTCCACCTGCAGTACCTACAGATTTGGGTGAATTCCTCTCTTCCTGAGGTTCCCCAAAATATTGAGGTTCCTCGCACCTGCCAGAGGGAGTGGCATTCTTTACTCAAACTTACCAGGTTACTGGGAAGCCATAAGCAAGGTACCAGGCCAATATTTCCAAGTGGCTTTCTTCCAGACAGTCCACCTTCATTCCTCAGAAGCTGTCTTGTCACATCTGAGCCTGTACGTCTTTCTCAAATGTGATGTTCCAGTCAAAGCCTCGGTATTATAACCCGTGTTTCCAGTTGTGTCCTGTTATAAGAAGAACAGATTGTTATTGGACTTATGCAAACAACCATATTTGCTCGTGAGAATAGGAGTACTTACCCACCAGGAGTATTTACATTTTGGAGGGCTCAGATAGGGAGAAAAAGATAAGTGCTTCAATCTTGCTTACAAATTGCTATAAATCGTGGTTCCTTAAGAGATTAGAGAAAAAGGTTTTCTTAAATCCGAAAAAAAACAAAGCATCAAAAATCAGCAATATGTCAAGCAAAAGGCCGTAAAAATTATAATCATCCTCATCAGTTCATTCAGTCCCATGTAATTGGTTCTTGATCTCAATCTTCTGTCAGCAGTTTCATGAAGTCATCCGTTTCTCTGTTAGGGCTGTGTAATTTCCTACCCAGTTCAGTTTTGTAATCTGCAAGTTTATCGGAAACCTGTATTCTAGAGTGTTAGAGTCCTTTCCATGAATCTCTCTGAAGATGAAACATATTTGCGAAAACATCAGAGTAAAACAACTGTCTGTAAATAACAAAACATTCAAAAATGGTAATTGACAAAGACACTTGACCATTCTTGTGACGTATAATACTTTGAGCTAATAGCCAGAATCACGGCTGACAATCAGAACAGATCGGAATTTTAGATAACTTTTAAAATACTTACATCAATAACACTCATTCACAAAGTACCATTTAAGAGAGTTTATCATTACTGGGTTTGACAACGCTTCCCGTGTAATCTGATATGCCAAATAAGCCTAATTAGCTTAGTGTTTTTTTCTTATAGGAAGAGACCATATCTCTCTGAGAAGTCTCAGTGGCCCTCTGAAAATTCCCAGAGAAACTGTTCCTCCTCTTCCAGGTCAAAAGAAAGCTTTTATTCAGGACTCGAATATTTTTGTGTGTCGGTGGGGGGAGCTTGTCAAAAATATTAAAAGCTTTAAAACATTTGTCCAGATAGGAAACAAAGCTCACCGTGAAACCATGTTCAGGTATCTATTCACAGTGACAACAGAAACAGTCGAGGGGAAACAGAGTTAAAATAGTCCAAAAAAACCCACCTTTGTATAGTCTTTTTATCAAGAGCAGTTTAAAACTTTAGGAAAATTATCCTTTCGAGAAAGAGGAGCCCCAGTTTTAATTTTGTACCAGTTTACTTTGACATATAAATTTATTCAGTTAATAAATTCATTTTAATCACAGCCAGCTTGACCACACATAAAACTCTTTAGGGTTTTACTTTCACAAACTTTGTGTTACTTTTTTTACATTCAAAATTTATCCCTGTACTTTAGGACAAATTTACCTTTCTTAACTCAAGAAACAAAAATATTCCCATTCTTTATACCATTCTTTATATTCTTTTTTTTACCGAAAACATACATTTTACTTTTCTTATACATGTGTGTTTTTTCATAGAAAGTTCCTCAGCACACGTAAAACATGTTTATCAATAAACCTAAGCTTTTTAGTTTCTTTGATATAAGAAACCAAAGGCAGACAAATCTATGCTTAGTAGTTAACCTTTACTATTTTATCTTATGTGGAAATGAGCCAGCTACCCAATAACTTTTATTATTTAACTTAACTTAGTAAAGCTATAAAGTTTAAGTTTGCAAACAGATTTTGGAAGCTGTTTTTTTTAAGTATGCAGACTATAAAACATAATTATTGTTCAAAAGTTTTTCAAAAAACTTTTATCCTTTTAATCTATCTAGTTTACCTGTCTTGAGCGACTATACTTAGGTCGTCTACAAAAACCTCATGAAAGATCAAACAAAATTAGCTATTATACTGAGTTATTAGTTTTGCTGATCTATTTTGTTAACAGAGATAACATGAGCTCATCTGACCAGTCAACCCAGGCTCTATGTCTGCATCGTATCCAGTGCTGATAACTCAGAGGACGGGGCTATTTTACATCAAATCAGCAAACTCAGATAGGCTTTCGTTTACCAAAGGTCAATTTGGATCATGTTAAATAACTTTGTCTTTTAGAAGTTTTGACATATTAATCAAAGACTGCATTTCATTGTGAATCCTGTCTTTTCTGAAAGAGAAGTCTCCCAGAATGGCCATTACAATTTTAAGTTATCTCAAAGGTTTACTTATTTTTACTTGCTTAATTTTAGATCAGGAGTTTTGGGGGAGCTGAAGTGAAGCTCAGCTTGCTGGGAAGCTCAGCAAGAGAGGAGAGAAAAGCAGCAGATTTGGCTTCAGCTGCTTATTTATTTATTTATTCAGCCTTTTATTTTCTCTTAAAGGGGCAGAAAAGTATTTCTGATTTTATTTAGAAGCCTCAAAAGATTAAAATAGGCTTTCCATTGTTGTAGCTGGCTTTTTCCATTGCATACATCAGTTTTGGTATGCTGAAATTGGCTCATTTTGGGCATATTAAAGTCAGATCGCCTTTAGCACGTCTAATTAACATAGCCTGTAAGGTGGATTTGTAAGCTTTTACAATATCAGGCAGGGCAAACGTTCCCCAGTGAGACATAATGTTTATCCCCACAACATGATCTATAATACAATCAGGAAAAAGAGCTGTAATCATTTTACATAACTCCCATTTAAATATACCAGTTTTTACAAACTTTTAACTTAAGTTTTCAACTCTTAAGCCCCTAATTATAACTTATATTAGAAATTCCATTAGCAAGTTTTGGTATTACAATATTATGTAGGGAAGGCATTCCCGGTTAGACATAACATCTATCCCCCCCCATAAAACATCCAGGCAAAGTTGGTGTAACCTCTTTCTATAATATTACTTTAAACTCTTTTAATTTTTATAGTCTTAGCTACCTTAACAGCCTAACTGTTGCCCCAAACAGTTGTTGGTCAGGGTTTTTTTTATTGTGATTTCTGGCTCCTGACCTTTTTTCACTCACCTGTGGTGCAGCATGCCAACCTCTGACACCAGGTGCTGTGGAAGAAAGTAGGACTTTGTTACGGCAGAGCTCTGAGACAAGAGAAAGGGCTGCTAACGCTGAAATGCCACACTCCCCAAAAAGCTAAAAGTAAGGGTTTCTATTTGGGGTTTTAGGTGGGGGGGGGGAGGGATATGGCCTTGTTGGTCAGAGCTTTTCCACCAGCCTGCGTTTGGCCTTGAGACTACGTGCAGAGAGGAGAGAGCCCACGACCTTGCTGCTCAGCTGCTTTCCCGGCAGCCCATGGCTCCTTGTGGGGAGGAGATAACCAATCCACGTGGTTGTCCTTGGCCATTTGACTCCACAGCACATAGTGGATTCTGGAGCCAGGAAGCCAGGGAGTAAGCAGGGAATGGGTGCTTTGGTTTTAACTGCTGGGTTAAATGATGGGGCTATATGCTGGGTTTAATGATGGGAAGCTGAGATCACAGCAGGTATCACTTTGAGCAGTAAAGCTTAAAACTGAAAAAACGTCCATTGCCTCTATGACTGGGCACGTCCACTGCCAGATACATCTGGAGAGTCGCTGGTACGTGCAGTGTCCAAGGACACGTGCACGAGGATGTTGGTGATGGGGAACACTGGGAGCACTCTAAACTCCCAGCAGTAAGGAAATGGATGAATGCAACGTGGCCTGTGCATCCAAGAGATGAAAACGCTGCAGTCAGAGGAAGGCATGAGGCATGTTCACGGCTTTCAGAAGCATCCTTGTGACTGCATTCAGGAAGTTGCAGACCAAGGGATTTGGGTACACGTTTGTAAATTAAAACAACAATGACGACGACAACAAACCAATCCCATACAGTGTTTGAGAATACATATACGTGGATGTACCAGAATGTTTTAAAGGTCTGGAAGGGCCCACAAAGAAGGCCTAACGGAGGTGGTGGCAGTGGTGGGGAGGTGCCAGCTGTCTGTCCCATTTTCCTGAAACTGCCGGTTGCCAGCTTCCCTGGCCTGAGCTATCGTGATATCTGGGAAGTGGCCCCTCCCTTGCTTTCTGTAAGGCCCTCCGGGGTTAGAATTGCCCCTTTTTCCACCCAGTCCCTACTCCACAGCCCTCCAGTCCTTCCCTACATTCCTTCCTCTCTTTCCCATTCATACTCCTCTGTCTTCCCGTTGCCTCTCCCTCCTGCGTCCTACTCTGGCTGATCTCCAAGAGAGGCCTGGGGTGTCTGGACGCCTGTTGCCTGCAGGAACTCAAAGGCCCGATTCCTCTGGGTCTGCCCCTGAGAACCCTACCGTGCCGGAGAAGCTTACAGAGCCGGGGCGATTGGGAGCACTCTACATCTGCCATGAGCCTCCTCAAGGGTGCCCCCCAACAGTCGCTGCCTATGTGTGGCAGTACCCTCTCCCACCTCTCCCCATGCCTTTTAGGGACTTGGTGTGCTACTTCCCGCATGCTGAAATGGGTAACGGAGGATATAGCGAAATCTGTCCCCACCTCATCCTAGAGAACATTACTGATGCATCCAGTCGGACGCCTCTGGCATCCCTCTCAGCATTTCCATTCCTTCTCTCCCTCCCTCCCGCTCTGCCATAGAGAGAATCCTAGAACGTCTTCACACCATCTCCACTCTCTTCGTCCCTGCAGCTCTCCTACCTCCTCTTCCCCTGAATCCTATAGGTCTCCAATGGTGTCACTAACGTCTGCTTAACACCCACTACCATGCTCACCAGGATCTGATATTGGTTTTTACGTAGTTTCTTGGCCTTTTTCCATCCCAGAGGGGTTCAGAGGGTCCACTTGGCCTTCCCCACTTGGTTGCTCTTACCTCCCAGACCAATGACCCAATGTGGGGTTATTGCTCCAACTGCCAAGCGTATCACTTGCAATTGTCAACTTGTGGACTGGAGAAATGACCACCGTATTGGTTCATGGACCCAGTCAGCTCACCTTGAGCTGATCTCTATCCCCAACTCCTTTTATTACCAGGGCTTGACAGGCCCCACTCCCCCACAAGGCCCATCGTGACACTTTGGGCCTCTGGGACCAGTGTCAGCTCAGACCCTGTGTCCAATAGTCCTAGAAGTGTCTGGATAGTCCTCTTTCCTCTGATAAGTGGCAGTCATTCCCTTTAGTGAAGGACAACAGCATCATAACAGTACATATAGTCACCTCCTTGTTCTCGGATCCTTCCTCCTTAGGACTCATCCACCTCTTCAGACAGTGGGGCTGGCCTCAAACTTCCTCAGAACCCGGAACTGAAAGAGAGATTTTGACTTTTTCCTGGGACAAACACCCTCCTTCTCTTGCGTTCTTGCCTTTTTCTGGCTGTAGTTGCCCCTAGGAAGATTTGCTGTCTGAACCGTCTTCTCAGCTCCTTGCCAGTCAAGTACTCTTGACTGCTCCTCTGACCTTGCCGGTTGTTACTGGAGATGTGGTCTCCTGGTGTCTCTTGGTTAAGAGTTGCCCTCTGCCCTCTATTGCTTCAGAATTCCATCATGCCAGGGGACGGTAATGACCCGAGGCTGGGACCACTTTCCTTCCATCATCCGCCTCGGCCTGGGGAAGCGAGCAACCACTGAACTTCTTAGTGATCCTGGGGCACCCCTCACCAGAACACTCTCGATAGCTTTGGTGAATGGTGTGTCCTCTTGGCCCTCCTGCGGAACGTAACCATCAGGCGACATGACTGGCCTCACATTTTCTATCCGTTCCAGCATGCCTGCATCACTCAACCTTTTGGTTCCTTCCTCTACCATCTACCGGCCCAAGGCAGGCATTTCCACTTCTGTTCATGTGGGCCGTCACTTTCGTAAAGCTTCTAAGGGCCACCTTTGGCAGTGACTTTCCACCATCTCCTGGAGTCCTTGCCAGCGTGTTAAATCCCGTGACATGAGAAAGTGCCTCCGCTCAGTAAAACTTGTTTATCCAGTCTTATATTTCAGTCCTATTAGTCCAGCACTCTCAAAATCCAATCTCAGGAATATTCCCCTGCTTCTGCCAGTAGAGGGTGGGTGGCTATTTCTTGCAACTCCCTTGCTGTGTAATTTCTTTTCTCCCGTATCTGGCTTGGCATATCCCCAGAGAGGTTATGGAGAGGAGGTGGGGTTTTCCCTGGGAGGGGCACCTGTGGCTTTGTGGGGCAGTAGACTCTAGCATCTACCAGCACAGGGAAGGTGCTAGCTCTTGCTAGGTGAGGAAGGGCCACCCTGCAAGCACTGAGGCCTCAGGGGGCGGGTCCCTGGAACAAAGGAATCAAACGGTACATTAGGACATATCTATTTAACACAAAAGATGGTCATCATGGTGGAATAGAGGAACAAGAACATGAGGAACGTATAAAACTCACAGAAAATAACAGGTGTAAATCTACGTATATTATGAATGCATTAAACACTTAAATCTAAAGGTAGAGATTGTCAACCTGATATAAGCACAGGATTCAACTATATGCTCTCGACGGGGGATACACTGTAGATTTAAGGGCATAAATCCACTGAGAGTAAAAGGACAGGAAAAGGATACACCAAGAATTCAGCAACGAAAAGGGTACTCTAGTGGCCACAATAATACCAGACAAAGTGAAGCTTTAAGACAGAGAATGTTACTAGAGACAAAATTGGACATTGTTCAATGACAAAAGGATCCACTGATCAGGGAGATAGAACAGTTTTAAACCTAAATGCACACAACAACAGAGCTTCAAAATATATACAACAGAACTTGACAAAATTGATGGGAGAAATAGAAGAACTCAACAATAGTAGCTGGAGGCTTTAATACTCCACTCTCAAAGAGTTGATAGAAGAACTAGACAGAAAACTAGCAAGGATATAGAAGACTTGAACAACAGTCTCTATTAACTCAAGCTAGCTGACATCGGTAAAACACTTCATTCAACAACAGTGGAATACTGTTCACATGCTTTTCAAGTCCATATCGATCATTTTCCTTGATAAAACACATCGAGGGCTGTGAAACTAGTCTTAATAACTCTAAAGCGATGTAAATTATGCAAAGGGTTTAGCCCTATGGTGTTAGAGATGTGCGAGAGACGACAGTATCGCTTAAGAAGCCTTCAAGGAAAGTAATGATCTTAGGGAACAGCCAGCTTTCGGTTAAGCAAGAAGATGAGGCGAACCTCTAGAGAGGTTGAGGATTTGGTGGTACTCGCTGGTCACGGACCATCTTCACTCTCACCTGATGACCTTGCTTCCCATTTCCCTGAGGACATAGGGCACTCACAAGAAAACTTCTCTCCTTCCTCATAAATGTTTTCCTCTCTTTGGGATCATTTGTATCAGCATACGGTCACGTCATTTCTCCTAACTTGAGAAACTCTCCTGATCCCACTTTCTCTTTGAGCTACCTTACGTTTCCCTGCTCAGCTTTAAAAGAAAAACCCCTGGAAAACAGTTGTGTGTACTCACTGTATCAAATTCCTCTCCTCCCATTCACTCTTCCTCTTCTTTTTTTTTTTTTTTTCATTTAACAAACCTTTATTGAATGCTTACCATGTGCTAGTAAGTGTTCTAAGACCTGGGACTATATCAGTGAACAAGACAGATCAAGTTCCTGCTCTAAGGGAACGTGCATTTCTGTCATAGGCCTATCAGCAGTATTTTCCAAATCTTCAAATATGTTCATTCCTTTCTTCTTGCAGATCGCTTTCCCAGATCGTGCTCCAACCTTTATTGGTTGCCAAGGGTGCTGCATCGATCGAGAACATCCCTTTGCCAAGGCTGTAAGTGGGATCTTCTGTTTACTGGAACCCATTTTTTTTTTTTTTAGTTTACTACAATGTTTTTGACAGGACACCTCTGCCAGGAGCATTCTGAGAGGACGTATATGGGAGATTTCCTTTGAGACTTTGCAGGAGCAAAGTGTGTCTTTATGTCCTACTTAATTGATAGCTAGATATGTAATTTCAGGCTGGGAATTTTCACTAAGGATATTAAAGGCATTAATCCACTGTTTCTTTGCCTTTCAATGTCACTTTTGAGAAGGCTGGCATTATGTTGAATGCTATTATGTTTCCCTGTCCTTTCTATGTGACCCATTAAAAGTTTTTTTAATACAACGTATTTGAAATTATTATAGTAAAATAATGATTGTTTTTTGGTTTTCAGTATCATGAATTTTAACATGTGGATACATTCATCACTACAATCAGGATTCAAAACCGGTTTCATCGCCCCCAAAACCTCCCTCATTCTGCCCCTT